AAAGGGGAGCGACGGCGACGAACTCACAAAGGAGAACTGCGTGCTTGACCTGTCCGAGTATGCTTATATCGCCCCTGACCGAAAGACAGTCACGCTTGCGTGTGGTTGCAATCCGGACACGGCCCTGTGTAACAGGTGCAGGTGCAAGAACAAGAAGTGCTCGCTCGCTTGCGGCTGCAGAAATCGTTGCACCCTACGGCGGGTGGCCCCGGCACCCGTGCGTGCAGCGGGGAGGTCTGCGTCACGGCCTACGGTGGGTGCTCCTCAAACTAGTCGGGTAGAGGGTACCCCCCGACCCCAGCCACACATCGAGAGTCGGCCACGGCCATCCTACAGTGTTGCCAACGCCATGGCACTCTTTGCCGCTTCTATGAGGCAGCAGGAATCGCACGGAGCGGAACAGAACGACGTGGAGGCGGGGACCCCCGAGTCGCTTGCGAGCAAGGACGTTTCCGCCGGCGAGGCCGCGGAATCCAAGAACGCAGAGTTGGAGGACCCCGAGTCGTACGATAACGGCGACGGTTCGGTCGGAGCACTCGACGATTTGATCAAGTTGGATTCGAGCGAATCTGGCTCCAGCGATGGGGAACCTGACGGGGTGAGCGAGAAAAGCGTCAACTCCAACTGGAGTGATGGAGACACAGATGATGGGGTTGCGGATCTCGTCACCGACGCCTGGAACTGAGATCTGGCTACTTCTTCAGGCGGGTACATAATATATCGTTCCTTGGGATTGGGCTTGGGGATGTCGTGCCCGGCATTATTGCACGTCAGATCTCCACGTCGTACCGAAAGATCGTGTGGTCTGACTTATTCTAACTCCATGTTTCAATAACATTTTTCGCGCGTCCTTGTTGGTGGTTGAACAGGTCCGTGCTTCATTTCCGTTGGATGCATCCATCCACGAGATACGACGACCCCGGGGTACGAGACATCAGACGGACGAACAGCGCGCGCGACTTCTCCCCTGTATTTCTCTACCCAGTTGCGCAGGGAGGTGCACGGGGGGGATTATTTTTCAGCCGCGCTGTGTGTCCGTTGTTTATTGGCATAGTATTTTGTTAGTCGCAAACTGCCTGAAAGGTACGGGGGTGCTGTGTGCGTTCCGGGCCTGTCTGTGTCGTTTGTACTGGCTGTAAATAAGGTGTTTGTTGTTTCCTTCAGATCGGGCATGATGTTGATAGGTGTGGGCAACCCGGGGGGGGCAGTCTTGTGTGCGGGGTTCGTGTGTAAGTATTTCCTCGCGTTTTCGACACACCCAATGCTCAGTGCGTACAATGTATTTGTATGCTTTGAGACAAAACACTTCAACAACTACAGTAGTCTAAATATAGTCTAGTGTGTACATATTGCCGGCCGTGCCTGTCTGCGTGCGACGTCAGATAGCACAAGGTCATCAGTGATCAAGTTCCCCGTTATTGTAGCTGCCGTGATACTGTCGCTACTCCATCCTCTCATAGTTTTTTTCCCCGGGATTCTGGAGAGTTGTACTGCTGGGTGAGGGCCCCGAGTCAACAGGCACAAGTGTGTGCGGTGCAACACCGCAGCAGGAGAGGGGGGTACCCCAAAAGCAATTTCGGTTCAAATGTAGCTGACGCCATTCAACAGTACTCCACGTGTAGTACGTCTTGCAGCACAATTCCAAGTGCTGTACAACCGCAAGATCAGCAGCTAACATTACCAATGCTCGGTGTTGCCGGCGGTGTGGCAGAAAATAAGCATGGAGCCTGTATGTAAATGCAAGTTTTCAACTTCATCTGTGTCTATCTCTTGATTCCCGCGATCAGTCAAGTTCAACTCTTCTGAAATTTACTCTATGGTACTCAGTCCATCTTCCCTCAAATTTTTGTGGCGATTGATGCTGTAGTGGGCGCGTTCTTGTGCTTGATCGCTTTGGCGGGTGCACAGCAGGGTGGTTGCGCCGCGTAGATACGAGTCTCACATTTTTTTAGGGGAGGGGCTGCGTGTTGCGCCGACAAGTTTGAAGCCTACAGTGGACGGAATTTGCCAAATCTTGGTTCCCTAGATAGCTACTGGCATAGTCTACTGCTGTAAGCCTTTAGCCTTCGGTGGATGTACGCCAGTCGCGCTGCTAATCTGTGTAAAACGATATTTTGTGTTCCTCCGCTTACTGTTTTTTTTTTTTTGTGTCGTGCAGCGCTGTTCATCCTCATTCATCCCTTGCTTCTTGCTTCGCCCTTCGCCCGCACTCCAAGTTTGGAACCTCAGCAAGCGGAAAATTGTTCCTTTTCGGGACGGGTGCGGCGCAAATTTAAGGAAGGTTCGACGTTCGTAGCGCGTAGCACATGTCATAACATGTTGGAGGTGGGGTGTTTTGCGCCCGATGGAGACGCCGTTTTTGTGCGGCGGGCGTGAAAAGTTAGCGAGCCGATATTTTTACTAGTCAGAGCTAACGACCGTATGAACGGCTGAGGTAAAGAGAAAGAAAGGGCGATTTTTTTTTCAACGCCCACGGCGCTAGATACGGGCAGTACACCAGTGATGAACGACACTGGTGGCGCTGCGATGACGAAGCACAGAAGGGATGCCCAATGGGGCGTCACTGACTTCATAGGAAAATTCCACCTAAGCAGAATGACAACACCGAATCCGATCCCGGGTACAGCGACAAGGGTCGAGCAGGAGCGCAACACTTTCCTCGAAAAGCGGGCCACCTCGCTGCAGAAGACCCTCGACAACATCGAAGCCCGGCGACGTCTCAGGGTGAGAGGCAGAACACGAAAGGCGGCGATCACTGCTCGAGTCGAGGTTCAAGCCACTGTGGGCTACAGAATGGATGCAGGTAAAGTGAACTGAAGAACCGTGCTGCGAGACCTTGGATCGCCCGGCAGTACCTCTATCAATGTGCGGGATGGATATTTACTATCATCACATGAACACAAGTAGATTCGTGTCCTCGACTTAAAAAAATTACTTTGAAAATTACTGTATTTGAATATGCTGTCTTTTGCGTTGAATAATACTTTCTATACGTTAACTTCGAAGTATATGAGGAAGCACCCCTTCCACGGCAGAGGCATCCGAACCTGGGCTTCGACATGTATTTCATCTACGAACTGCTCGATTCAGTCAGAATGGCGGTACATATACTCGCGCATATATAGACCATACTTTAGTATGTTTATTTTCTCGTATCATTGGACTCTGTCGTCCGCCCCTCTGGTCCCTATCCTTTACTTCTACTAGCTAGCCGACCCAACCGGGGTCACATAGGAGGGTGGGGTTGGACCCCCTCCTGCGGTTCCTGCCTGAGATATTTTTATCGCGAGAAGGGTACAGCAATCCCTTCCCTCGCGACTTACGACGTCGATTATGGTTTACTAACAACGAACTTTGCAGCGCGTCGCTTTCATCCTTGACCAGGATTTATTTAGTGAGAAGAAACCCACTCTGCCGGGACTCGAACCCATGACCTGGCCCTTTGCAGGCTACGAGGGTACCCACTAGACCACCGGGGCGACCGGTGCGACATATTTGTGGCGAAGAATGACGTATGTTGGCTACCACCGGGTCAACGGACGGCAAAAACCAATACGCATACGGCCTCTCTGTTTTGGCTTGGAAATGCACGACAAGCATGGTGATATGCATGCCGGACGTACGCCGTCGATGTCAATGCACGGAATCATCTCTCCGGAGCACTATTACGATCACAACATCTCACGCCGATCCGTCATGGTCCCGGGGCCGCTTCTTTTTTCACAGTCCCGATGAAAGAACCAAAACGCCGGTATTGCGGTTGTCGGCTCACATGATGAGAAAGAAAAAAATGGTCCGCTCGGCGGTACGCGGGACATTTCATCATTTGATCACCCGCCACTACGTCAGGCTGCCACCTCAGGGCGGCGATAGCCCACCACGTGGTCTGTGATCTGCGCCAGTGCGTGCTCCGCAAGGCCCCACTTTCTACAGCCAGTATCTCCCCCCTCTTTCATCATTCGTTTCAAGTTCATCATCAGCTACCTTTGCTGGCAATTTTCTCTGTCACGCACACGCCACAGCAACGAACATAAGCAGCAGCAGGTAGTTGCACACCCAGCACACTAGACATCGTCGGGGAAGCGGATCGAACGCATGCGCGGCACCCACTCAGATGGACCTCATCGACAAGGAACGACAAGGGGGGATTCTTTATCTGGTCCTCCCCTCTACAAACGATCACTTCGCTATAGATCGACAACAGTACAACACAGCAGCAGCAGCAGCAGCAGCAGCAGCAACAGCGTCATCATCATCATCTTACATCATCAGTTCTTCAGTTGCAGATCCATACATCCGCGGCTGTCTGGATATCTCCCTCTCTGGTCTGTCGTTTTCTCTGCTAACCACCTCCAGAACCTCCAGCCCTCCGACTAAGTTGGCTGGTGTGTGTGTGGACACACGCGTATTGTTTGCCGTGTGCCTGCCTGCTTTGTGAACATCTACCTATCTGTGCTCTGGTCTCTCCTCCGCCGTGTCTCCCGTCGCTTGCTTGAACATAGAACCTCAACCTTAAACATGAACAAAGAACAGCCTGATACTTTTCGAATCTTTGAACCTGTAATCTTCCGAAGAAAAGTCCGAGTTCAACCCCAACAGCCGGGACCTCTATTATATATATGATTCTATAAGTTAGTTTATTGAATTTTTTCCCATTTCTCTTCCTATACTTTAGTTGTATTGTCTACTGTAGACTCGTGGAGGAACCCTTCTGGTACTGTAGGAGATTCACCAAATATGGAAAATATCCTTGTGAGCAATTGGTTTGTGCACCATCCTCGATTGCTCCGGTAATCATCGGGCTTCCAACCCTCTCGAACTCTCTACGTGTACAAAAGGTTCACCGGGTATGTAGCCTCTTCAAGGATTTCGAAACATGTTCTGCTATAGTAGCACTGAAATAGAACCTACCGTCAAGGAGAAAATGATCATTATCTGTGTACATGGTTCATTCCTGTAAATGTTATTATGCCCTCCCCGTCGTCCCTGCAGTGCAACGTATGTACCAAAGCGCAGCTGGCACGACGAAGAAGCAGATATCTATAGCAAAGTACGCGCCGGACGCAGATTTCCATGCCCTCCTTAAGTACGTGGAGACCAACAACGTCTACCAGGTCCGGTCTCGATTGCGAGATCGATCATCGACCGGTTCGAGCTATCGACTCGTCGCTACAGCCGAGGAAAAGTACGGCAACACCCCGCTACACAGGGCGGTCTCGCTGGGTTTCGTGGAGATTTGCAGCGTTTTGCTCGAGGCCGGAGCTGACCTTGATGCTGTCAACACGATGGGCGACGCTCCGATACACTGCTGCTGGCGGTTCTGGAAGGGCGACTCGTGCAAGTACGGCTTGTGGCGGAAGAACCCCTATCTCATGACCACAAAAAAGATGAAAGAGGATTTCGCTAGAATGGTGAGCTCCAGTGCTGACTCTTCGGGACGGGAAATAAAGAGCTCATGAGGGCTTCACAAACGAAACGACGGCAGGGAGTGCTCCCCTCTTGGTATGGGCTTGATTGAATAGGTGCTGCATGCTCAGCGCACATGACACCTACACCATCAAGATCAAAGCCCGCACTCGCGTATGGGTTTTATTGCGCAGGAAAGAGACATGCAGAGCACCGTGTCGCTGCTGAGGCTGCTAACACGGGGCGGGGCGGACGTTGATGCACAGCGCAACAACGGGGAGGTCGCACTGCATACCGCCGCTCGACGGGGCCCCTTCATGGCCCTCTGGATTCTCCTGCTGAGCCAAGCCACCCACGACATCATCGACCACCGGAACTTCACCCCGGAGACCGCCGCCATCAGGGCGGGCAACGAGGACGCTAAGACGCTCTTGGCGACCTGGCCGGTGGCAAGACTCAAGTACCGCAACTCGGAGTTCGTTCAGGAATGGATGAAGTTTCTCACCGATCCGGACGCAAACCTGACCACGGATCTGACAGCGAAGGAGGTGCTGGCGCAGGTAAGGATGGAGGAGCACGAAGAGAGCACGGCCGTACGCGCGAGGGGGGGACACTTGCTGGTGGACGAGATCATCACGGGACCGGTGCTGAGTGCGGAGCAGAGGGCCCGCGCAAAATTTATCAACTTCTCTGCGCCGGACCCGGTGACCGTCGCTTCCACACTTGAGAACAGCGCCAACAATACAAACAGCGTCAAGTCTTGTTCGGGCAGCAACTGCGGTCCTAGCCCAAGCCCTTCGGGAACGAGGGAAAGCGACGAGGGCGGGCGGAGACGGGGGGGTGAAGAAGGGGACAAGGGAGGCGACAAAGAACAACGGCAACAGAAAACCAAGAGCAAGTTAGGGAAGGAGATTGATGTCTACCTCGCCCAGGCGAGGGACGAGGCGGCAGGGATGCGCGTCGGTGGCCTCACAGGGCAGTCAACGGCGTACTCACGGCTGGTGGCGAAGGAACAGCTCGAGGGGCGCAGAAATCGTTGGCCAGGGATACGGGACAACGGCAAAGATCCACCCACAGGTGGAGCGGGTTCTGGATGTTCAGGCGACCCCTTCGGGAGGCCGATGACGACAAGCCAGCGGAGACGTGTCGCCGCTCTTGAAGTTGCCGAGGATGGGGGTTAGTACGAAATCCATCGTTCTTTCCATAGTACTGGCAAGTGTGGGACGTTTTTCCGCTGGTGCGAGTTCCTGTCAACTCTGTCTCGATCGCTCGGTGACCTCTTGACGGGCTTTTCTTACAGGACACTTTGTCGAAAACCACCTTTAAGCAGCGCACTTTTGAGTGTTGTCTTCGCCGAGAAGATGTCTATGTCACCCGTTGCTCGACATCCCACTCGTGCACGCTACCAAGCCCCTCCTATCCACTAGTGACCCTTCACACCCCCCAATGCATTCGCTGCTGACGTTTTAAGCGCAGGTATAGAGAGCCCGCTCATTCGCGCAGCAACGTCATCTGCGCTCCTCACCACGCGGTCTCGGGCAATGAAGAAAGAGAGCACTCCGCACCCGTTCTACGGGCGGCGGCTGCTGACGCAACGCCTGCTGAACCAGCGAGAAAGGGAGGCGAGCATCAAGCCCACCGCTACCATAGGGATGAACAAGGGTCTAGACCCCGGGGGAAGGAAGCGCGTCTTATACCTGAACGATACTCGAACGGTTAGTGACCAGGGCTGTAGCTCTGTTGCATGGCCTTGCTTGTCTGCGCTGTGGCTGGTAGCGGTACACGTGCCAGTCCTACTGCGTGTGCAGGCAAGGGTTAAACTGCTTTGTGTGACCTTGAAGGTGCCGTTTCAGAACACTTCCTGCGTCGTCCGGGCAACAACTAGGTGCCACCCACATCTTGTAACTTGTTGAACGGTCCACCATGCCAAACGAAGACCATGTGCTGCTTCAAAGCTTCTTGCTGTCACTATTTCGCGCATGCAGCACGCTCGCGAGCACCCACAAGGGCGTGTCACCAATAGCTGCTATGACCCCCACACACGTGGTCCTCACTTCTTCCCTATGTAGCTGCAGGCTCAGGATGGTTTCCCCTCGTGCTCAAGCAATTTCTTTGCGAGTTGGACCCACAGGGCCCTCACATTTTGCACACGTACAGTATGGATCCTCTACATGCTGAAACCCCGAGTATCTTCCGGACAGAACCACAAGAAGACAGGCCCTATCTTCGAAAGCTGCGGAAGGATCCTTACTTCTCATGTGCAATGATCGAGGGTCCACCTAACATATAAAACTCTTCCAAACGTCAAACCTCCTTGATCGCTTGGGTATAGTTTCAATCGGAAATCGAACTTTGGGCATGCAAGTACAAGTACCAGCTCTCGGGGATCGTGTCCACTGGACCCTACAAGCCAAGAGGAAATAGGGGAAAAGGTAGTAGTGGTTTGCATTTGCAGCAGTACCCTTGCCTGAGGTCTGACCAAGAATAATGGCACGGTTGGCTGGACGCTTCGGTGGGCCTTTCTTTTTTCTTGCGCACAACATACAGCAGTATTTAGTTTTCACGTTGTTGGCTCTGGCGACGCCAACGGCCAAATGATATGCACTCCACCTGTTTGAGCGTAATCTTTACCCCACACTAAAGTGTTTCTACAGTGTGATGTCCTGGTAACGTTCCTGCGTCGATTATAGGACACGTTACGGTTCAAACCAAGCCAAAACGGATATATACTGTTTACTTGGATTTCTTCGCTATTTATCGCCTCTTGCGGCCACCCCGAAAACTTAGAAAAACCTCACCGTCCATTCCCTGTTTCACAGCGGTCACGACGGTGTCAAAGGAGTGCAGATTGAACGGTTCTTGTACTCGGCACTCGTGGACAGAATTATCGGGCATTGCCCGAATAAGCAGGGATGCATGGGTCACCCTGTGAAATGATCGGCGGCGGTTCGAGGGGGGTCGGGCAGCCAAACAAATCGTTTTGATGAGTTGCTCGTGTTGCCAAACGAGGGGAGGAGGTCGGGGAGAATAGGTCCATGGCTGCAACTTTGATACGCAGTCTCGACAGCAAAAACAGTAGTCGCGATGAGACGCTGATTAAGCCATGTACAACCAACGTAAGACCCATGGATCCGCTTAGACTGCCACGCTGCTATTCTTCCTCGCACGCCGCTGCACAAAAAGGCTTTCAACGATCACGAGCTGCTGCCGGAACCGAACGACCTCGGCGGCGTCGTCCACGTGGAAGAAGCGGGACGCCTGCACGCGTTGCACCCCTCGATGCAGTGGCGGAAGCTTCACGAGCGGCCTTTCAGCGAGCTGCAGGGTAGCCGCGATCACAGCGAGAACGTCTATGACTCCATTCTCGAGAACTACTGCCCGAGGGCCTGGAACGCGGTGGGCGCCCAAGAGCCCCTGTTACCCGTGCGGGGGCATGGGCCATACAAGTAAGGGCTTAGGGGCGAGAACCAGAGACACCCCTCGCGGCGTGAAACAACGTCGGAAGACAGACTATCTAGCGCACCACCGCGAGACACAACCCTGGACACGCATGCGTTGGGCACGTCTTCAGCAGCGCGGTTGGATTGGCCCGGGGATGGAGTCCTCCCGGCGATGATCCATTTTCTCGGCTCCTCACTTGGTTGGCTGAACAGCAAAACCTCATGTATGTTCCCCATGTGCCCATTGATAAAATCGCATGCATGTATGATCGAGATACAGTAGAGGACAGGAAAAAAATAAAAAAGTAAATGATAATTGAAAGCAAGCCGACGACTATCCTCGACGTTGCAAGTCCCAAGCAGGTTTTTTGTTTTAAATTGTTTCAGGCTTTAGAACGTCAACGGGGACGGATTCCTCATGTACGCATGGCGTGAAGACACAACAGGTGTACCGTTACTTGAGGCAGTGGCATTTCGATGATGCCGCAAAAAGCCAAACACTACCGAGCCAAAAGAGATTGAAAACGGCCATATATAACAGTACACGCCAGAATGCATGTATTAGGTGTTTTGCAACGGCGACCTGTTCATCATACAAACGGTGGTGGTGGCCGAGTGTGTCTGTTGTGCGGCGGCCTATTGTAGCGGTTGGTTGTGATGCACAGTCGCTTGTGGAATGTACTGTAGCTGTGCAACGAGTACATCGTTGTTGATGGATGCAAGACGGCGACGGCCACCGCGTCTCCATAAATTTTGCAAAACTCCTCCAGGGAAACTTTTTGTGCGCGCAAGGGCCTCGATAACCTGAGCTTAAAGGAGAATTAAAGAAGCGCGCGCGCTCTCGTCGCGTGTATGTTTGAGAAAGAAAACAGGAGAAAAAAAGCAAAAATCCAATGATATTTCTGACCAATGACAGCTCCCTTCCGGCAAAACAAGCCAATTCACTTCGTGAACTCGGCAACCAGGTTACCGTTTTTTTTTACCTCCGTTTTTTTTTTTTTGGCGGTAACCATATTGGTAGTCGAGTAGATCGTGTTGTGCGGGGTGAACCCTCACTCCGCGCAAGGGGGATGATCGCACCACGTTGTGTT